CTCACTCATTGGAGTTTTTGTTTGGAAATAAATGATAAGGTATTCAAAGAAAAGGAAAAGAATTTGTTGGAGATGTTAGTAGCTAAGTTGTAACATTTGAAATGGGTGACCTTGAATAATTGTAGACTATCACATTGGCACCTAAGATCTCAAGAAAAGGGTGTTTTGTTACAAACTTGTTGCAGAGGATAAGAGAAAATTGGGTTTGGATATCTTTCCTGTATCTTTTTAAGGCTCTGTTCTTAATTTTATCTCAGGTATGCATCATAGGCAAGTGAAAATTAACTTTCTTGGGGACAGTTCAATCCCTAATGGTCAGTTTGGATTGAGGTTTTTGAGTGCAAATTGTACATGGGCATATGAAACCCATGATTGGTTGGAGGGATTTACTCTTTTACCTGTGAATACTCTTCCCGTGCATAAAAAGTATAGAATTTGTTACCCATCAAAAGGGAAAATCCCATCTCACTTTTTTCTTCGGGTACCTAACTCTTCTTCTTTTCTTTCTCCAGTTTTTTTCCACTTGGGTACTTTTTATTTTTCCTTCTACTTCTTTATTTTTCTCAACTGTTCCCCATTTCTTATTCTTTTTTTCTTCTTCAGGCATGACTTTCTTTTTCTTCTATTTTTTTATTTTAATTTCGTTTTTGTTGTTTTTTTTAATATGATTCTCTCTCTCTCTCTCTCTTTTATTTATTTATTTATTTTTTTATCTATCAATCTTGGAGATTCCAAATGGTTTACAGAGGGGCTGTGAGAAAAAAGAAGGATAAATGATGGTAAATTGAAACATATGTGCTTTATGTTGGGAGGGGTGAGATTAATTAATTAAATTTGATTTTTGTAAATACAACATGCATAAATAATTATTCAATTTGATTATTGTACTACTTATTTACAAGTAAAAGTTTATATTACTTTATTACATTCATTTATATGAGAATAGTTGTTAAGATTGATTGCTAAATAAATTTAAAATCCTAAAATTTAAGGGGCATAATAAATTAAAATTTAATTGAATAATTTTACTTAATAAAACTATATAATAATACTTAATCATCTAACAAATTAAAAAAATTCTAATAAAATTATTGGAAATATTGGCTGGAACTGAACAAAGATATTAATAATTTATATAAAATTCTGATAGCATGATAGCATTCTCGTGCAACATCAAACGTAGTGATGTGATTTCCATGTAGTCTACTCCTAGGCATTTTACAGAAAACCTTCAATCAAACGACCCCTAATAGACTATATTAGCCGGGATTTACTACCAACAGTAGCATTTCTAAACAAATTTACTGAAATCCTTCACGTTGCTGATTTAAATTCATAAAATTCTTCTTCCACAAATCATTAACGATGCAATTGTAATAATCTTCCTTTATTTATCTATTTTTCTTTTTCTTTTTTTTGTTCTTGTCATTTACGTCTTATGAAATACTGGCTATAGCGTGCATTCATTAAATTTAAGGCAAATTTTTGGCCAATTGCTTTTGAAATTTGTCTACAGGACGATGACCAGGAGGCCGCCGAAGAAGTCTCTGTGAACATGCACAAGGAGTTTGTGCGCAATGGAACTAAAAGTGCAAGTTCAACCTCAAATAAAAAACTGAAGAAAAAGAAAAAGAAGAAAGAGCGTGAGAATTCTTCTTCCACCACAAATAAAATCCTTGATAAACCCTTGGATGTGATTCTAGAATCACTGTCTCTGGATGTTAACCCCTCTGCTTTAAGCCGTCAACAGGACCCTGAGAAAGCCAAAGATGTCGTAGAAGAAGAAAGGAACCGTGGAAAACAATGTTTGACTTCATTGTTAGAAGTGGATCCTAAATATTTAAATGCTGGGAATGAACTGCGAAGAATATTTGGTTCAAAGGTGGTAAAATCATTTGAAAAAAATAATCAGGCCAGTAGTTCTAGACAACTACGTGGGGGAAGACGTGTCAACCATCTTTCTAGGAAGACCTATCTTGTTAGTCCATCAGACCATTGGCCTCGTTGGGATGGTTCCCTTTCCATGGAATTTTTGGAGACAAAGAATGGATATCACTACTTCAGGTAAATTCCGTTTTCATTTTATCTTCTCTTATACCTTCTGCTCCCTAAAATACACATACTGAATTCAAGTAGCCTTAAACTAGAATAGGATGGCAGTTTATGTGTGTCCAACCTGCTGGGGGATGTTGAGTGGTTTGCGGCTGTGACATATAATACCTGAATATTTGAATTAATTAAATGTTGAAAGCTTGCCTTTCCCACGATTCAATAGCCTTGTATGAGCTGAACTTCAGTTTTATGAATCTAGTACTCTTTTTATCTGGGGCATGAAGAAAATACCTTGAGATGAATCTTCATTTGAAATATTTCCATTTGTAGATAATTGTGCCCCTACCCCACACACCCAGAGTCTTGTACATTTCAGTCATTTATATTCCCTCGTGTTCAATATTGTCAATCATATTTTCTTTTTGTCTTCATTTTTCCAAACTATTTCAAATTCTTGCGAATGTTGACCCTTGTTTTTTCACCTTTTTGAACGTCTTTGAATTATGTCTTCTATAAATTAGTGTCACTGCTGTCACAAAAATATGTTTAATATAAACATAATGTTTATTTCTGGGATTTGGATTGTAATGCAATGAATTCCAGATATGTACATCCGCCATCCTATGTTGAAGCTCAGAAAGCATTTGAAGCTGCCAAATCTATTCATGATCTCAATGGCATTGCTAGTATTCTGTTGCACCACCCATATCACTTGGATTCACTTATAACAATGGCAGAGTATTTTAAATTTGCGGGTGACCATGAAATGTCCTCTGATGCAGTTGCAAAGAGTTTATATGCCTTGGAATGTGCATGGCACCCCATGTTCACTGCGTTACAGGGTAATTGCCAGTTGAAGATCAGCCATGAAACGAACAAGCCAATGTTTACATCACTTTTCACTCACGTAAAAAACTTGGATAGACGTGGTTGTCATCGATCTGCATTGGAAGTTTGTAAACTATTACTTTCACTGGATTCCGATGACCCAATGGGGGCTCTTTTCTTCATTGATTACTTATCTTTGAGAGCGGAGGAATACACTTGGCTGGAAAGGTTTGCTGAGAGCTACAAAAATGATACTTCTTTGTGGTTGTTTCCAAATTTCTCATTTTCCCTTTCGGTATGTCGATATTATCTTGAGCGGGAAGAAGACTCAAAGAATGATAATCTTGATGCTACAAGGGCTAATTCAACAGACCTTTTGAAGCAGGCGTTAATGCTTCACCCTTTGGTCTTAAAGAGATTAGTGGAAAAGGTCCCGCTGAAGGAACAGTTTTGGGTGCATATACTCAAGAATTCCTTCTTCTCGTCTGATCAGACAGGAATTCCTTCCTTGGACCACCTCATTAATTTGTACGTTGAGAGGAATTACCTTATATGGAGAATCCCAGATCTGCAGAAGTTACTCAAAGAGACTGCACAATTGGTAATTGAAGTCTTGGAAACTGATCGAAATGATGCTAAAGACTGGGCTTGTGTGAGAAAAGAAGCATTCTCGTGCGAGAAAAATGAGTGAGTATCTTCTCCTTCTTTTCCTCCTTTTTGGTGATTAAAAATGTTTTCTGTATATCAGGCGTTTAGTTTTTCATCTGAGTACCGCTCAACGCATGCGTTTTGAAGTTGTGGAATTTACTATTATCAGTGCAATTTTTGTGAGGTAAAAGTGATAGGTTTCTTTTATTGCCAGGTATGCTCATTTGTTGGTCTCAGATTTCTCTGATTCAGTATCATCTGCCCCTCCTGAAGCCTTGCAAGATTTTGTGGTTGATCCAAGGATGAGAGACGTGCAGAACATAATTCAACATGCAAATCCTCCTAATCAACGGCATCCCACCCGGGAAATTGCAAATAGGAGTGCATTGGCTGTCCTGTTTGAATCAATGCTTCCTTGGGTAAACTATGGGGATGAAAGAGATATAGGCGTCGATGAAGGTAACCAGTTCGACGAGCATGACCATTAAGTTGTCAATTCTTCTTGAATTGCTAGTTCTCTTCAAAATGCTTTGAGAGAATGGACTTAATGTGATAACTTGCCTTGTGTTGTAGCAATTGCATTGAGTTTTGTTTACTGATATTTGTCATTGGTTGCCCACCAAGATTGCTCTATACTGATAGTTGTACTTGTAAGTAGGAAGTTTTGAATTCCCAATGCATGCAAAGAAGATCAATCCCAAAATTGGATTAGTCATTTTTCTTAAAGTTTGTGCTGTATACAGAGGACTAAAAACACTTCTCTGCTTGGTTATTTATAGCACGTACTCGTAACTCTATTGGTCGTGTAAGAATGAGCATCATAGCTCTTTCTATCGTTTTGTAAAAGAATAAAGGATGAGTATCTTATGGATGGTGCATGCGGCTGTGAGGCCTGACAGCATCCCAATTATGAAACGGAGCTGCTCGCCAGATAATTGAAGAGCAGCTGCGCTAGTTGGATTTGCCGGACTGCGCGGGGGGGCGCCCATCATTATGATTAGGCGCACTAGCATTGCCCTCAACCTCGCATCATTTCGCTCACACCCCATTTCCCAATTACCAATTACTAATTGCATGCAAAGCTATTTGCAGTCTCTTTAATCATATGCCAATACCAAGCCTGCTGCTTCTGGTTCTCTAATAATTAGTTACCATAATTATTATACTTTCTTTTCGTGGTCCTCAAATAATTAATTATCTTAATTGTTATTTTACTTCTATGGACCCCTACTCTTCACTAAACCCCACTGCCAGGAGGCTCTTTTCATTGTTATTGTTCGAATTAGGGACCGATGAAAATTCCAGTTATGATATCTTGCCAACTCCTTCTTATAGTATACACAACCAAAGTGATTCCTTAAATTATCAAACATATCTTTAAACTTTGTACTTTGTTTAACAAATGGTTCGAAATTTGAGCACTTTAGTTGGTAAGAAAATCACATAGGCTGGTTACAAAGTCAAAAGAGACACCCCAAAAGTCTCGTCTCAGTAGCAGCAGCGTCAGCCCTATAAAAATGGACAGGGGAGACGGCAATCAGCAGTGGGAGGCGTTGGCATAAGCGGGGCTGTGGCGCGGACGATCATCGAGCAAGATTCTGACAGGAAAGTTGGAAAAGCCATGGCGATGGGTAGCGGCAGAAATGGCGGTAATCTGAAAAATGCTGTCGTAGCCTTACTGGTTCCGCTTCCCTCCATTCTCTTTTACCTCTGTTTCCTCAGCAACTGTGGTAATGGTACCTGTACTGGTCTCTGGAAGTGGTGCTATCACCATCCTCTTCTGTTGGTGAATGCACTCTTCTTCCTCAACGTCAATTTCGTCTTCTGGCTCCTCAGCCATGTACAATCCAGCCACTGGGTGAGCCTCCTTCCCCCAAAATTCTTCTCTCCTCAATTTCCTCAGCACCAAACGGCTGATTTCTATTTCATGTTTTGATTGGTGCAGATGATTGACCTGTACTGGACTTTGATACCCGTGATGCTCGTTCACTATTTTGCTTCTCACCCTTTAGCTCACTATAATGAATTGAGGTCATGGATCGCAATTTCTTTGACTTGGATATGGAGCATAAGGCTTACCCACAACTACTTGAGGCGGGAGGGATGGCAGCTGGGAGTCAGAGAGGACTGGAGGTTCACTGATATGCGCCAACAGTACGGCAAGAACTGGTGGTGGGTTTCTTTCTTCGCCGTCTATCTTTCACAGCAGGTAACAACTGATCCAATCCACGATACTCTCCTTGTTTATGCCTAAGCCAATTGGTTCATTTGTGTTTGTTTCCCTTCAACTTCAATACAGATATTCCTGATCGGCGTATGCCTTCCTCTATACGTCGTCCACTCAGTTGACGAGGCATTGAATATGTGGGATTTGGTAGCAATCTTTGTGTGTGTGTCTGGAATTGTGATCGCCTACTTTGCTGACACCCAACTCCATGAATTCGTGACAAGGAACAACGAACTAAAAATGAGTGGAAAATCAATGGTGCCCAATTTAGAGGAGGGATTGTGGCGTTACTCCCGACACCCAAACTACTTTGGAGAGCAGCTGTGGTGGTGGGGACTTGTGATATTTGCGTGGGGTTTAGGTGAGGAATGGAGCCTTGTTGGATCAATGGTGAACAGTCTGTGCTTAGCATATGTAACCAAGCTGGTTGAAGAGCGAATGGTGAAACAAGAGTACAGAGCTGAAGCTTACAGGCAATATCAGAAGACTACATCTGTGTGGATACCTTGGTTCAACACATCAGTGAAAAAGGATAAGAATATGTGAGCAAGTAAGCGTGGCTCTTTCTTTCTGTCACTGTGCAGCGTCTTCTCTTTTTATGAATTTGTATGCGGTCATCTCAGCTGTGTTGGTTTATGGTAATCTTGTTGTAAAGCTTTCGCCTTTCTACTATTGGGTGAGAAAAAGTTGTATGGATTGTTCTATCCTTTGTCTTCTATGTGTAAAACACTCGCTTTTATCTCATTGTCTTGGATTGGATCTCTTTCTCTTATGTTACGACTCTCCGCAATAGTACGTTGAATATAAGCTCTCGTACCAATGGAGATGTATTTTTTACTTAAACCCATAATTAACTCTTTAATTAGCTGAGGTAGGACTCCTCTCCCAACAATCTTCCCTTCGAACAAAGTACACTATAGAGCCTTCCCTGAAACCTATAGAGCCCTCGACGAACAACCTTCCCTTAATTGAGACTCGACTCCTTTAAAGCCCTCTAGCAAAGTACACTATTTGTTTGACACTTGAGTCACTTTTGACTACACCTCCGATGCTCACAACGTCTTTGTCCGACACTTAAGGATTCCATTAACATGACTAAGCTAAGAGCATGACTCTCGTAACACGCCGGAACCACGACTCTCAACAATGGTACGATATTTTGTATTTAGTTTTCAACCTCCTCAGCATCTCTTACTTAATATCTTCCCCTTATCTTTCGACTTTCCCAACCATCCTCATCATCTTACCCTTCGGCTTTCCCTCTCTCAAAAATTCAAAGACCAGAAGGGCAGAGAGCTTCATTGGTGCATCAGAATTGGGTAAGGCTGGGTCCTCTTCGCCGCGTTAAGCTCGTGGTTCTGAATTGTTTTCTCGATTTAGTTGCGAGTGACATTCGTATGCTTAGCTAGAGGGCACCGACACGCGGTTGCTTCCTTGTTTCGGTTCAGTAACATAAACATGGTAGCCAAGCCATATACTATGCAACCCAGTTGTCAAGTTCTAGGTATCGTTCATTAAAGAAATACGAAAACGTCAAAAGCACAGAATTTTCCAGTTCGTGTGACCCTCTATTCCTCAAAAGGATTTTACTTTACTCATCTCTTCAAAATATCTAAGTTCCACACCCCGTTGCCTTATTTTCTCGAACCTTTTGCTACGTAATCTTGTCGTCAATAAAATCATTAACGTGTTTGACGATCCTCTACCCTCCATCTCTTTTCCATCTCTCATTAAAACCCATTTCGAGTTTCTCGCGTTCGTTTACTTTCCCGTGACAAATCGAGCCCCATTCAAGTAGAGATATTAGTTCTTGTTTTCAATTTCAGGTGGGTTCTACTGTTTGTTTGCTTTCCTATACCAAAGATTGTTGTATTCATTCAGGTAGAACTATTGGATTCATATTTTGCAGAGTTTGAGTTGATTCTTTCAAGAACCAAGAATTGTAATTCTAAATCCATGGCAGAGTCAGAGATAAGGGAAGAACCATGTGTGTCCTGCACCACTTTTAACATTCTAGCTCCGATTTATAAACGTCTTGATCAACAGGTCTGTCTTCTGGTCGTTTCCATTATAATCTAATCGAATATGGATTTCTTCATCTGAATTCCCCATTTTTATTTTGGTACAGAATCAGTGCCTCAGAGAAAGCGACTTCAGAGCGTTTTGGTTGGATAGAAACCGCAAAATTCTAGACTGTTTGCTCTATGATTCATCTTCCATTATATGTCTCCAGGTTGTATTTCAGTGTTTTTCTCATCTTTTCTCTTCTCCTCTTCCCTCATTTGTTAATATAATCACTCTCTTGGGATTCATAAACAGGAATTCTGGGTGGGCAATGAAGAACTTGTACGTATGTATTTGGACAAGCTTGGTCATGCAGGATATACATGCTTCAAGCTTGCACGGACCAACAATCGTGGAGATGGTATTATTATGCTCTTACCCACCCACTCCACTAATCATAATTGATGTTCAAAGATTAAGAAAATTCCACTTAATCTTCAAATTTCTCTTTGTAGGTCTGCTAACTGCTGTGCATAAGAACTACTTCACGGTTCTTAATGTTAAAGATTTGCTTTTTAATGACTTTGGAGATCGTGTTGCCCAAATGTTACATATCCAATTGGTTAAGCCCTTTTCTCAAAATCTAAAAACTATTGTTCCCCCAGAAATCATTGTTGTTAATACTCATCTGTTATTTCCTCATGATTCCAGTCTATCCATAGCAAGACTAAACCAGGTATATACTCACTTGTTCATCCTTCTAATCCAGTGATGACCGAACTAAATTTGTTGTCTTCTGCTAGGTTTACAAGATATTGGAATATGTAGAGTCATATCAGATAGAAAACCATCTCAAACCCATGCCTGTTATACTCTGCGGGTTAGCATGCTGCCTTTCATTTGAGTTGTAAGATTCATGTCACTCAAAGTTCTTTTAAACGTTGATATGGTTTGAAGATATGTTTTGCAGGGACTGGAATGGAAGCAAACGTGGGCATGTTTATAAATTTTTGAGGTCTCAAGGCTTTGTTTCATCATATGACACTGCTCATCATTATACTGACAATGAAGTGGATGCTCACAAGGTTTGTATTAGAACATGTCGATTTTTGTTTCGAGTTGATATCAACTCTGTAATAATGCAAGTTTGGTTTTCTTCCACAGTGGGTTAGTCATCTCAATCACCGAGGAAATATCTGTGGTGTTGATTTTATTTGGCTTCGTAATCCTAATATGTCCAGAAAACCGTTGAAGACAAGTTTTGCAGAAGCTGTTTTTGGTATAATTAAGGTACATCTGTCGTTTCCATGTTATGTGTATCCTATTTTATATCTATTAGTCTAATGCTATCTGTTCTTATGTATTTAATTACAACAACTAGGGAAGGAAGAACTTCTTTTGGGAGCTTTTGGTTCATGAGTTTGTGTTGAACAAGTATAGTTTCTAAAACCACAAGACTACACAAACTTTTCTAAATTTCAAATCTACGACCTACAATACACACGACTTTGAAATTCACTCCTTTTAACAAGCCCACCGTGAGTAGATATTGTTATCTTTGGACTTTTTCTTTTGGGATTCCCTTCAAAGTTTTTAAAACGCGTCTGCTAGGGAGATGTTTCTATACCCTTTTAAAGAATGTTTCGTTTTCCTCCCCAACTGATGTGGGATCTCACAATCCACCCTCCTTCAAGTTCCAGCGTCCTCGCTGACACTCGTTCCCTTCTCCAATCGATGTGGAACCCTCCAATCTACCCCTTCGAGGCCCAACGTCCTTGCTGGCACATCGTCTGGTGTCTAGCTCTAATACCATTTGTAACAGCCCAAGCCCACCGCTAGCAAATACTGTCCTCTTTGGGCTTTCCCTTTCGAGCTTCCCCTCAAGGTTTTTAAAATGTGTTTGCTAGGAAGAGGTTTCCACACCCTTATAAAAAATACTTCGTTCTCCTCCCCAACTGATATGGGATCTCACACACAAGCACCGACTTCTTAGAACCTTATTCTTAACGCCAAGCACTGACTTCTAATGCTTGGGTGGGTGAGTGGGATGAGAGTGCTGCCATAGGATTAGATGTTGTGGAAAGGATTCTTTTGCGTCTATGACCGGGGGCTATATCTGAATCTTTAATCACTGCTTGTTGCAGAATCAGGTCGGAAAAGTTTCAGTGTCTGAAAAGGATGAAACAAATGATGATTTAATTAGATACTCAACTTTGTGTGAAGCACTTCGCCAGGTATTTTAGATCACCACCTAATTCCTACCTGCATATATTTATTTGTACGGAGGTATTAATATGATTAGAAATCTCACACAGGTAAATTTGATTGATCTCCCTTATGGGTTGAGTTTTCAAGAAACAAAGAACCTATGGACACAAGCCGCCATTGATGGAAATGGTGTAGCCAGTTATGAACAATTTCTGGTATGTTCATCACGTTTCAACAGCCTTGTCTTCATCCAATTCCTTAATTTTACATGTGGAATTTGTGTTTTATCTGCTCAAATTTAAACGTGCAGCAGAGGCTAAGGAGTTTTGCATGTTCCGAACAGACAGAGGAAAATGTGAATGGGAGAACTGATGCATGCAACGAAGAAGTTGTTGTAGGCTTCAAAGTGAAGCATGCTGTTCTATTTCCCCGGGAAGTCGAGAAAGGGACGTGGCCTGACGGTTATTCCCTCTCCGATCACGCCCGACTTCGAGTCGAGTTTTCACCAGTAATGCTGCAGTGTTCTTAGAGTTGTGATACTAAAGTTGGATGTATATCATATATATATATATACATACAATACTCTGCCCATGTCCCTCTATCAAGCTTTGGAAGGTTACTTGGATCCTTAAAACAGCATTATCTGAGCGCCGCAGCAGCAGCAAAGTTTCAGGTGAGCGGAACATGTGCTCTAAACCTTCTCAGTCTCGAGCTTGTGGTCATTAGTCCATGTTCATCTCAAGTCTTGGAATGTTCAGTCTCAGCTTGTGGAAATAAATAGATTTTTCTGTTGTTGTTGTAAATTAATGTATTAAATACTAAGATTGGTTATTTAGTGATAAGTTAAAAAGATTAATAGTCAATTTGAACGTAGTCCAACTAATTTAAGACATATTCTCAAACAACATATCAGACATATAAATCTCTTGTATTTTTTGTACTTAAAAAAAAAGTAGTACAAAATTAATGTTCGTGCATTAATCACGCTTGGCTAGACTTGCATGACTACGTGCAAAACTGAGAGAATCTATGAGTATGGCACCTTGCCACACATGCATTGATGCATAAGTCATCTAGGATTTGAGATAAGTGTTATAAGTTACTGGGTTTTATCTTTACCAAAAAGTTGATTGGATGAACTTAGAATTTATACAAAATCTAAAAAGAAAAAAATTCGATTGTGAAGTCCTTCAATTCCCCTCCATCTAGAACTCTAATGTCTTCGCAGTCTTCTATTGAATTTATCTTTGGTCTCGGTGAATGAAATAGGTTGATTAGATGACTTCATGAGGAACAAGATGTTTAGATCTAAATTATCTAAAAACCTAAAAAATAATAAGAAATCAATTTAAGGAAAAATTTTGGAACGAATTACCTTGATAATCAAGATCAAGAGTAAGAAAGACTCGTTTCTAAACTTGCGATTCGAATCACTTCACAAAATAGTTTGATCAAAACTACTTTAAGTGAATCTAGTATACAAATCTAAACACAAAAAATGCAAAGGAATAAACTCATAGCTTAACTTTGATTATTGAAAACAAATAAAAAATCGAAGTTGAAATAGTCACGTAGCAAAGAGGTTTAGACACGTGGAGGTGGAGTAAGAAAATAAGAAGGTGGCCAAAATTTCCTCATATTTCTTTAATGTAAGTTTGCTTAATCTTTAGTTTGTTTTATTTTAAATAAAATTTTAATCAATTCTAATGTTTCTCTTATGCAAATGAAAAGTTCATTTCGAACCGAGGTTTTTTTTTTTTTTTTTTTTTTTTTTTT